AATCAGGAATCGAAAAAAAAATGCCAATCTTTGATTGGCTAAAAATTATTTTATTGATTTTTAACCAATCAGATATTAGCACCAAAAATATTTCTAATCATAACGATAAAAAACAATTCAATAACGATAACGATAATCATAATATAAATCCAATCAAATCTTATCTCATATTTTGATCGGCCAATAAAATGAACGTTCCATGCTGAATGCTAATTGGTGGGATCAATTTTTTTTGCCCTTTTGCAAGGTTTTCGATTTTGATATCATGGAAATGATTAGTCTACCAATTATAGTTCAGCCTTTTAGGGTTTTGTCTTTCGCCTTTTTTCAGCGTTCCGTCATTTCACCAAGGGTTTCGTCATCATATTTTGCCAGGGTTTCTCCAGTTTATGGTTTTCGTATTTCGACATTACGTAAAATAGTTACCTCTAACGTCCATGCTCCAAAAAAATTATTGCCACCGCACTTATCAAAGAATTTTTCGGATTCGACAAAAGAAGCAATCAATAAATTAAGAGATCAACTACGTTACTATGCTGTCATAGATATTCGTTCTCAAAAATTTCTAATCACCAAAAATGATATCGTGATCGCACATAGGTTGAACGACGTGAACGTTGGAGATGAATTAAACCTAAATCGGGTGCTTGAATTGGGATCTAAGGATTATACGATCAAAGGGCAACCTTTTGTTTCTGAATCATTTTATAGTATTAAAGCTACAGTACTTGAACAACCTAAAGGTCCGTTTATTCAAATATTTAAAAAGAAACCAAGAAATCGACATAGGAGACGAATCACACATAAACAGACCTATACGGTTTTGAGAATTTCAGAGATTGATATTAATAAATTTGTGTGACTTTTTGTCGTATCATAATGTTAACATATTTTGAACAATATAACAATATTACAATCCAAATTTATTTGGGACGTTTAAAGTGTTCCCTATATCGGATAGTGTAGTTGGGTGTGAAAAGGGATATATTTTTCTAAATTTTAAGCGATATTTCAGCAATCTACGATCTGAAAAGATTTTCAAATTTTATGTGTGAATAGAATTCAAAAGTTCTCAAATATCGAATATGGTAAGAAATTATAAATTGAGATATAAGTTAAGTGATTTAGGGTGTTCTCAAGCAAATCCCTCAATGTGTTTGGATAGTGATTGAGATCGTGCACAATCATTACGATCAATTGAAATAATCCTTATAACAATTTTATTGAAGATTCATGGTGTGAAATGCGAATATTAAGAGCTAAGGAAGGTAAAAAAAAAATTTTTAAAACATGTGATGTTTATAATCTGGATATGAATTTGCAGTAATGCATTCAGATCATAATCATCTCATGTTTTTTTTTACCATCCCTATTGTCACATAGTTTCTTGTTACCCCCTTGTACCTAGTAAGAGGGATACTGTTGGACGATGGGTTGTATAATGAAATGGGAAGTGGTGCGTTGAACGATGGTCAACGAAATGTCTGATAGGTGATTTCATGGATGGGCAGAATT